AGGCATCTGTCTTAAATTGCATGTTATAACTTGCTAAGTTATACATACTAGAAGAGATGTAAGTTTAAGCAAGCTACAATAAAACATTTACCTTCTCCAATTTTTTCCTTAATTTTGAACACATTTACAAGCTGTGGCACTGCTTCATAAAGTTTTTCAATATCTTTTTTTATTCCTGCTGTGGAAAGAATGGGAAAAATCAGTTGAGAATTTTATTGCTCAATTCAGTATCTGGTCTGTAATTCAGATCATAAATCATACATCAATTTCTAGTACTGTAACTTGACAAACTGCAGGAAAAACAGACGAGGGGTACCTATCCTTGCATTACTGTCCGCCTAATTGATCATCTTCTTCACATTCCCTTCCATCCTGCAGCATTTCAAAAAATTTTACCTACCTGCCACCTAGAAATTTCTGAGAGAGGAAAAGCTGATTTTGTAAAACTTCACATTATAGCTCATTGATTAATGTTTCCTGAGACATGCAATGTCAAAGTCACAAAAGACAAAACTATAATAACGAAGGGGCACATCCATGAGATGCAAACCAAGAATCAAAAATGTAGGAAAATTATTATTATTTAAAATCACCAATACAATCTCTTAAACTGTTACAATAGTAAATACCAAAAAGCATATTTGCTTTGCATTTAAATTATTGTACTTTGTGCTGCAATCACTAGATGGCAGGACAAGGATGTTGTACTGCATTCCTTCCAAAAGTTAGCTTTCCATTCAGTTCCTGAATGCTTCTATTTTAATTGTTCTCTATTTCTCTTGAAGCTGAGTATGAAGCAGGGTTAAAGAACATTTGATTATGCAGAAGTATGAAAAAAATGCTATTAGGAAGCTACATCAAATGGAAAAAAACAAAAGTTTATCATTTTCATCCTAAAAATGAATAATAAATTCAATTTAATATAAATATAAATTATATTGTATACATTAAAGTGTACCATGTTTTACCTGAACAACAAGTTGTAAGTAATGAGAGTTACTTTTAAAACATCACCAATATGCTTGTAATAAAGCATGCATTGGTAAAACATGGGCCTTACTGCTCAAGAGGAGAATGTTGTTAGTTCTGAAATATCCTAGACAGACCTTCATGCCTAAAGGCTGTGTGCCAAAGGACAGGCATAGAAAATGGTTCGAAATGCTGATATGGATCTTAACAGCTCTGTCAGAACTGCCTTGTTTAGAACTGGATTGCTATGCAACCTGCTCCAAATAAAGCAACCTACAGTTTTGTTCTAGCACTCATATCTGAGCTTGACTTCTGAAAAGAGGAGCTTAAGCTTCAGTTCTTACTGATTACACCGAATTTGCACTGGAACTGCTCCAGTAAAATTCTTTGGTTGGAAAAAAGGACTTAACCTTGGCAAAATGCAAATGACTCCAATAAGGACTTGAAACCCACATCGTTTAAGTCTTCAGAAACTAGCAGATCAGATTTTAAGCTGACTTTAACTTGTCACCAGACCAATGGCCTTATGGTAGACAGTAACAATAATGAAAAGCTCTTGCAACTGCTGCAATACAATCTGCCAGCTACTTGGTTTTGTGCAACTGAGTTGAAAGAGCTGAACATTATCAGAGTTCTAATAGCTGAGTGATCCTAGGCCAGAGGAGTACATATCCCAGACACCAAGAAAATTTAGCAACTCAACATAGCTTCACATGTGAAAGATCCCAAAAGCAAACAAACATTGAGTGTCCTTGTTGAAAGCAGCATAAACATCACATGTTCTCTTCCAGGAGTCTGAATCCCCAGCTGGGCATAGCGCTTGCCCCATTGTTGGCAAAACACAATTTAAAAATGCAGCCATTCTTTGCAATGTTTTCTGTGAGATCTTAAAGCAATTAATTTATTTCCCCCAGAATGAAAAGCATTTGCTAAGTGAGACATTAAATGCTATTCAGCATTGCTCTAATTCTGGACATGGATGTGCAGCAAAATGACAGAGGACTATTTCTAGGAAAATCAGTAGCCATTATATATAAACCGTCTGACCACCAGCAATTACTGAGCAAGGATGGTGCCTGAGTATAGAACGCCCAGATTTAAGTAAAGTCGTAAACAGACAAAATAAAAACAGCAACAAAACCACTATCAGAGCACGTGTCTGTAGTTTAGCTTCTCTTGCATGAGAAAGAACAGTGTGTTTGTGCACAACAACACATCTGCAGATATTTAAGGCCAAGGCTGGTGATTATATTTTAAAAGGCAAAATATTATTGTTGAGACATTGTCTGGTAAGAGAATTTTATTCTGAAGAAGACCCTTTTGGAATTCTATTATCCCTTAAGATAATAAATTCTGTAATAAATAAATGGGATAAAGGAATGGTGACAAACTACTGCTGAACTTTTGTAGCCACATGGAAAGCAGGAATACGCTTAATGTCAACAGCAATTTCAAATGTTCTCATTTCATTAATTCTTTATACAATATGATAGTTGATGTTAAAGCTTTCTGAAGTGATGAAGAAGCACATCAACACCAAAATGTATTGTTAGCAGTCCCTGTTCAAGCACGTACCTGAAAGCTTACTGTTCTGTGCAAGTTTTCTGCTTGTGTCTTCAGCCTGATGAGGGTGCTGCTCATCACAGTGAGACTTGGACTCTGTCTCCATTACAAAACTAAAGAAAAAAAAACAAGACCTTGAAAACCACTTCTGGACACTTGAGGGAGCAAACATATCTGATAATACACTCCACTGCCCCACACTCAGAGTGTGAGGAATTCCTCTGTGCTGCCTAAAATTGCAAGGCATCTACCATCCCAGAGAAAATCAAACCAGTAAACTCACTTGATCTCCAGTAAAAGATAAGAAGGGGGAAGAGAAAGAAGAAAGCAGGATAAGTTTAGAGACAAATGATTTTCTTCTAACTGGAGTGTTTTCTCATTCATGTTAAAGCTATATCTTTTTCCTGAAGTTTGCTTTGAAAAGTGGGGAACTGGTCCACAAGAAATTAGCTACATTGTACACTGCAGCACCTCTACAAAGACAGAAAACGTGAAAACACATAAGAGAAAATCTTCTCAATATGTGAGATTTCTCCCTCTTCTAGAGAACATAACCCAAAAGCATGATTATTTGTTCTAATATCTCATAAAAGTAATAGAACATATTTATTTTGAAATGCTTCTTCCCAAATCTTGTAAGAAAAGGTGTAAATTACTGTACTAATATACAATTAAAGAAAAGATAATCCTATTTCATGAAGAAAAGAGAAGCAGAGCACCAGCGAAGGACGAACAGTGACAAGGGAGCTCAGCAGCACCTCTCACAGTGGCACCATTTTCTTCTCGAGGATCTTCCCTGCTCGTACCTTTGCCGAGCCCACAAAGTTCTGCCTGAACTTTTCTATGAGAGGGGAACGTATTTTGAAAAACTTCAGATGAAAGGATTCATCTATTCCAGCGAGTTGGAATACGCTTTGTCCCCTGAGAATCCTGGCTACCTTTATTCTGTCATTCTCAGGCAGCAGAATGGGGACAGGCGACAGCCTCTTTCTGTGAGGGAACTTTGCTGGAGAATGCAACTTGGCGACTCATGGAGTGAGGCAGCACTCTGCAGCCTTTCACAGGTAGGCACTGCCCTGCTAGTGCTGAGCAGGCAGACCAGCCTGTTCCAAATCTGCAATGGCACGGCCTCATTAACAGAGCAAGGAGTGCCCTGAACACGGCCTCATTAGCAGAGCAAGGACAGCCCATCAGCACACGGCAGCACTTGCTGTAACCAGCATGCCGAAATGCAACCCCAGCTCCAGCTTCTGCCAGAGCAAGGCTGGCATTTTCAGAAAGCTGGAAGCAAAGCTGCTCAGCCTGCAAGACCTCGGGAACACGGGCAGGGCAGAGGGGGCTCAGTAACTCAGGGTGCCCCTTCCATTGCTTTGTGTTAAACAGGTGCTGATGGCTGCAGAACTGAATGCAGGGAACACCTGAATATATTTTGAAACAGTTTACAGACTTGGAAGTGGGCCTCGTGGTCATAAAATGGAACCTAATGGAGTTTCAAGTCAGGCATCTAGTTTTTACGTTACAAAACATTCAAAAGGGATCATCTGAGAGAAAAAAGAGGAAGACGGAGATGATGCAAAGTTTCAGCTCAATTCACCCTCAGGTGTTCCGGCTCCCATCACAGAAAAAATGTTCTGCACGGCCTGGAAATGAGCGAGGTGCAGCGGTGGCGGCCCACACGGCTCACACAGCTCCAGGGCCCTTCGGCTCAGGTCCCGAGCGCTCAGCGGCCGTCCTCGGCTGCAGCATCGCCAACTGCCACAGAGCCACCGGCGGCACCGCGACTCGAGCAGCACCAACAGCGCACGAGGAGCCGCACACGCAGGACTCGAGCTAGGTAACGCCGCTACTCGCAGACAAAGGGCACGCGTGTGGAACGTGTCACAGCGGGTGCGCCTGCAGCGAGGCTCCCGTCAGACGCGCCGTGCCGCGGGCATCGATAGCGGCGGGCCGGAGCTTCGAGGCATGCGCCGTGCGGGAAACGGGGCCGGACCCCGCGGGCTGCTCCCGCGTCGGGCGCGGAGAAGCGGGGCCGCCCGGCCCACGTCCCGCAGCCCGCCCGCCCTGCCCTGACGGGATCACACGCGGGCATCGGCCCGGCGCGGAGCGGGGCCTCCCCGGGGACGGGCTGCAGGGGAAGCGCCAAGGGAGCGCAGCGGAGGCGGGGGACGAGCAAGCCGCGTCCATGCCTAACGAGAGGCTGCGGGGCCGGCCGCGGTGCAGCGAGGAGTGGGGGCGCGAGGGGGCTCGGGGACACGCGGGGACTCACTCACGCGGCCGCCGCGACGCGCCGGAGTTTTGCCCGCTGCCGCCTTTTGCCGACCGCCCCTCCGCGACCAATCCCGGCTCTCGGCGGAAGCCACGGCCGCGGCCAATGGGACGGCGGGCCGCGGGGAGGCGCGCTGCTATTGGTCGGCGGAGGGAGAGGCCCGCCCCGAGCGAGTGCCGGCGGCGGGGATGGCGGGCTGCGCGCTTGTTGATCCGCTCCGCTCCGCTCCGTCCTGCGCCCTCGGATCTGCCGGAGCGGGGAGAGAGCTGTGTGGCGGCGGGGGCCTGCTGGGCCGCCCGTGTGGGCCGCAGTGTCTGCGGGATAACAGCCCGCGTAAATCTTGTTCTCTGTGTGTGGGGTTACTGCGAAATAATTGCCTGCCCGTGGTGAGATCTGGTTCTCTTCAGATCTGCCGTCAGTTCAGCTCAGTTCTTCGGGAGTCCGTGAAGCTGCTCCATGTACGTTGTTGTTTGTGTGGTTTTTTTTTTGTTGTTGTTTTTTTTTTGTCTTTTATCCAGACTTTTGGTCATTATTATTATTATGAGGTGAAAATTAAGCGTTGTTTTTATTAAAGACTGGCTCTTCTGCATCTGAGCACAAATGGCTTCATCCCTCGGTGAAGAACAGGAAGCCCTGACGCTGCCGAGGTTCCCATTCGGCTGCCGCCTCACAGCGCGCAGAGGGCTTCAAAGCAGGAACAGTTCCGCTCCTTCACCGAGCTGCGTGGTCTCCTGTTACACGGTTTCGGAAGAGGGTGCCCAGATACGTTGTTAAGCTGCTTTTGTGTTTTTTGTGGGACGGTTATGTTTTCCCCAACATTTCTAATTGGCACCTTCTGTTCAGAGTTCTTAACAAAGCAGTGCAGCAGCTTTTGCTCAGAAGTTTTGCTCAGTTAAATACAGTAAGGCTTAATAATTTAGGTTAAGGGTGAGGGTATTTAAGAGCAGATTATAGCAAACGTGAATTAAATGAGGGATAATGACAAAATAATGACGAATTCTCCTCTCTTTTATCCATGTAATCTTCTAGAAGTTAGAAGTGTTATGTAAGTGTTCATTTGAGCAGGCCTGTCCTGCTGCTAGCAATAGGCACTGCCGTTTTCACTTAACCTGGTGGGGCAGTGTTACCTGCTGAGCGTTCCATTGCGCTGTATTGCCATAACTTTCAAATTAATATTTGCAAAAGATCTGGTGATTATGTATGAGCTGTGCGTTCAGCTCTGCGGCCTTGTGGCCAGAATTGCAGCCTGCTTCTTGCCCTGTCTGCTTTTGTGCTGTGGGAATCTACGTACTGAACCATCACCCCTTCTATGAAGCTTCCATTCTTGGCATTTTTGTTAGCAATACCGATACTATTTCTCTCACTACCACTTCGCTTGCATTCATGGGCAGTGACAAATCCATTTCATTTTATCTTCTAAAATAGGTTCTACATAGCTGTGGTTTCTTTTTCTGTTGCATCTCTATTTTCTTCCTTCCAGCACCTAAAAACCTTTTCACTTAGACCTCATCATTTATCTGCCTTGATCACTTATTTCTCTCCATTTTCTTCTTTCCTAATGGTGTAAATGCATTGTGCTCCCTTGTGCTGTCTTTCCGTTGTTTCTGCTTCTCCACTGTGTCCAGTTCACTAGTATTGTTTCATAAGCATAACTGCACTTGTAATATAATGTAATATTGTCTCTTATTTTATTGTCCTACTCTTCTTAGTCTGCCAGAAGTGCCAACCTTAATGCTCACCTTCATTTATCTCTAAAAACGCTTTTTACATTCTAGCTTCTCATCTGCGTAAGGGAGAAGTTCAGTCAAGCTGGCTTGTGACTCTCATAAAAATATCTTCCCAAAATTCACCCCTTCACCAGTGTCTTTCTTCATGTACATCTTAACAAAAAAAAATAATAATTATGTATACCATTTTCACTCAATTTCCTTAATCCTTGCTTAAGTATCTCCAGCTAATTTCATTCGGAAGGACTATAAAATATGTAAAAATAGCTTCTGTGCCTTTGCTAAAGCATGAGAAATGCTCCTTTTATGCTGGCTTGGGAAAGCAGAAATCCCTTTTCTTCTTTGCTGTTGGGGCAGAGAAGCCTCCATCTTCTCATTCAACATTGAATTTCCACTTCTAACAATGTACTAAGGCAGAGCTTCTCAGAACAAAAGAAAAGAAATTGCATCAGCCAAATACGGCAAACAAAGCAGCATGTCTAATGTTCTACAAGTCAAACTGCTGAACTGTCTCCTCTTTGTGGCTTTATCTCTAGGTTGGATCTGTAGGATGAGAAGCCAAATGACAAGCCAGGCCCAGGAAGAACGTTGCTTAAGGCTGACAAGCAATTGCCAAAGCCAACCTCTGGGAGCTCTCCAAGAAAAGATCAAAACTTTCCTGTGAGATTGCATCTACTGCTGCCAGAATCTGCAGGTGAATCAATTTTTTTTGTTGTTGTTGTTGACAGATCTAAAATAGTCTGTGTTGATGCCGGAACACAGCTATTAACCTCTTCGTAGGTCAGTTAAGTTAGCATAAGTCTCCTTGTACTTGTACTGTGCTTCAGTCTCAAAGAAAAGATCCCAAAAAGATAACTGAGGAATGTTTCCAGTACAGACAGAGGTAGGAGATCCTTGCATCCCACTAGTGCCAAAAGTATTTACTGAGAAATTAGAAAATACTTAGTATACTACTAGTATATTACAAGTTGTTACTGCCCTGACAACACATATGTATACCAGTATGTACATTTTAATGTTAATATAGGCTGTTGAATATGTTATTCAGTCTTCATTAGCCTAAATGTCATGTTTCCTACCTTAATTCCTCTTATTGTCAAGCAACATGATTCTATGGCAGAATTTTCTCTCTTTAGCACCAGGTTGAGACAAATCTCTTCATGCTATTGTGCCCTTTAGGAATACTGTCAAATGCAATCATTCAGGACTCATGAGTCTTGCACTAACATGAAGAGATTGATTTGAAAACCATGGGACTACGTTTTTTCTTTCTGTTTTTCATTTTCCATTTCCATACCTTAACCATTTTACATGAAAGCTGAGATTGCCAGCTTTGATCTCACATGCAAATGAGTATTTTGTGATGCTAGGGAGCCCTAGAATAATGCGCTTGGACGTGGCAGTGACTGTCTGTGCCAGTATTTTCTGATCAGTTAGAACTATCTAAAATGTCAAGAAATATTGTGGTGTCAGAAAATATACTAGAATATAGCAGCTTCTACAGCCTATTTAGAGAGAGTTAAAAATAGACATAAAAATTACCCCAGGCAAAGATGCAGAGGAATTCTTGACCTTTCATAAACTAGGTCCCATTCAAATAAATTATGTTTTAATAAGGTCAGTAAAAGACATATACCTAAGAATAAGTAATCTTATGTGGTTATCCTACACAGTGAAAAAGTTTGAAGAGGGCCAGTAAGTCAACTGGCAAGTAACTGAACACAAGTTCCAAGTGTGATGTTGTAGCAAAAAGGATCCATGCAAACCTTGTTGCATAGGCAGAGTGCAGATGTTAATGGTGGCAATTCTTATATGCGTGTAGAAATCATGAAGGTGATTCAAGCATAATGTGCTCTGCAAGATGGATACCAGAAAAATGAAATGAGTACAGAAAAGACCTGTCAAAGAAAATGCTATGTAATTGAAGAATTAAAAATCTTAAGTACTGAACCAAAAAGATTGAAAGTTGAGTTCACAGCAGTGTATACATAAATGCACAGAAATAAATATTGAATGTTAGGGCCCTTTAAATCTACCAAAAAGTGGTATAGGAGGGAGTAATGCCTGGTAGGTGGAATCAAGAAAGTTTAAGTAGTGTTGTCTGTCAGTACTCAACTCAATACTGCTAACAACAATTAGCTGTTGGGGAAAAAAAACAGATAAGGGCTGTGGTGGATTTCTTGGCTCTTGATGTCTTCATCTTTGCTATATTTCATAAATAAATTTCTATATTTACAAGCTCTCCATGAACTCAATAAATAATTTTTTCTTACTACCGCCCCACACCTGTCTTTCTCTGTATGCCTTTTCCATCTTTGACTGCCCTGTCCCACTTGCTCAGTGCTGCACTGTGGGATGGCAAAGAAAAATTGTAGGTAAAGGGGAGATGGCTGCACCCACTTTTTGTCTCAGATTACTCAATATCTCTCAGAGTACTTCAAGTCTCCAGCCCTTGCCTTTATTTGCCAAATAGAAGAATGCACTTTGTCCAGCTGAACTCTCTCTACCCAAATCTTGTTCTTCCATACTCTGCTATTGCAGTCTGTTACAGGGTCAGCTCAACAAAAGACTGAGACTTACAGCCAAAAGCAAAGCAGTATAGCTGGTATGGAGCGATGCTTCAGAGACTTTTTCAACTTTTAGACAAAATTAAAGCTTTCCTTGGCAACAACTATCCATTTAAAGTAATTTGAATATTCTTGTATGTGCTGCAACTTATGTGATTGCTTACAGCTTAAAAGGAATACAGTGCCTGGCCAAAATGGTTCCTACGTGGCTAAGGGGAAAATTGGCATCTTCTGAATATTAAACTGAGTGCTTTTCTTTTCCCTGTATTATATATTATCGGTATGTGAAACATCTGTTTGAATGTAGAGTTGCAGTTGTCATTGTTGTTTTCTACATTTCACCAGCATATAAGGTGTGCTTTTTTAATAGTTAAATGAGAGATTCTGTTCTCCTGATAGATACGTCGGTAACACTGTGCTTTTGCTCCTTTATCTGACATAAAGCTGAATCTGGTAACCTCACTTACTGCATAATTATGTTGTCATTGGGAATACTCACACATGGAAAATGAGAAGGACTTGGCCCTTTGGTCATATTTTTGTAGCAAAAGATAAAATGAGATTTTAGGAAACTGCAACTTATGACCATGATATTTATGAGGCTGTCAGGATTGCACTGTAAGAATTCGTATTATTTAATTCTTCACTCTGACACTAAAGCATCATTTCATTTATATGCAAATAAGAGTATACTCGACTGCTGTTTCTTCACTGAAGAAGCCGTTTGAATTATTCACGTTTTATTAATAAAACTTCATAAATAAGTATTTTTTTCTAGTCAATTGGTAGTGGCTGGGGAGAGAATCTGTTTATCAGATTTTGTTATTATGAGCTTCATAACAAAATATGAAGATTTATGGAGTACATAATTAGATATTATATGATTGTAATTGTAGCATTGGGTTATACAGATGAAATACACTTTTCTTTGTGTGTTTCTTCTTGGTAGAGGCACTTTCTGGGAAATGGACTAAACCCAGTCCTCATAACTGTGTATGAAAGGAACAAAGCAATTTAATACCTTTGTGTTATCATACATACTGAAATAATTTTGAGTAATGGAAATATGACTAAGAAAGACTAACGTGGTGAAAATGTTCTCATCTGTGCAGAGGTGCTGGTGTGCAGACCTAGCATAGCTGCATATATGATATTACAGTGCAGAGCCTGAAGCTCTCTGGTCTTTAAACCATTGGCATTTAATTTTCCCTGTAGGTACAGATCATGGTCAGAATACTCTAGAGGTGAACTCAAATCCACCAGAGCTGTGAATGAGGGTAGGCTGCCTGTTGGACTGAGCCTTGGCACTAAAACCTGGCCTCCTGATATGTTTTTGTAGAACAGAGATACCCTGATGCTCTACTTAGTCAAGATATCAGCCTCTTCAAGTGTACACTAGGGGGACTTTAGGAACTCAGGTGTTTTCTTCAGCAATATCAGGCTAAAGAGGCCAAGTGAAATTTGTGTAAATCGCTTTGTCAGAGTTAGGTATCTATACTGCACTTTAAATAGGCACTTTCTGAAATACTGGCACTGAATTCTCCTTGAAGTTTTGAAGTATGAGACACAGAGAACAATGCAGACATGAGGTGTTCAATTCTATTACACAATAGTACCTGAATGCCTATATATGACCTAAACCAATGAAAATGCAAGGGAAAAACACCAGAAGGGAAATACCTGCTGAGTATTACAGTTCAGACCTTAGAGTTTTGTTTCATTTTATCGCTATATGCTGTAATCCAAGCAGAATTTTAGTCTCCTTTACCGTATATTTGAAATCTGCCATAGCAAAACTACTGCAAATTAAAAGTCTTCCAGTAAATCTAAGCTGCTCAAGTTTGTGTCAAGAGCTGAAGATATTTTGTGGGAAAAATTGTATTCTGTCATTGTCAATTAGATATGCATTGAATTTTGTGTTTCTATAGAAACAAGACCATGGAGCACATCTTGTGGAAGCCTCTCAGCATCTCAGAGTTATCAAGACTATTAACCTGTAAACATATACATGACTGTTCTAAAAATAATTTATTTTGCAGTTGAAATAAGGATTTGTGAGCTGCATTGAACATAATCCAACCAAGCATTTCACTGGGCAGTTAACTTTAAGCATATGCAACCTTTCTGAAGGCACTGAATTGGGTTGTGTGTGCTAGGTAGGCATGTGTGTTTAGAAGAGCAGCAATGAACATTCCTTAGTAATTATTTGCAGCTACTCTGAAGGATACTGTATTGGCTGACAGAGTCAGCGAGACAACAGATGTTCTAAAAACGTTTACCTGCACATAGCTGTTATGGACATACCTAATGCTAGTCAAAGCAAAATGTAATCATACATCAATTCTGATCCATTCTGCACGTGATCTTCTTAAGAAGTTCAAAAAACACCTTTTATGCTAGCCTGTTGTAGCAGAAGTGCAAATCACAAGCTGACACAGCGATTGAGCACCTGGTGGGAGAAGCAGGGCCAATCCAGGTGAGCTCAGGTGCAAGCAATGCCCCTGAGTGACCGGAAGAGGTGAAGCCAGGATCCAGCCCTTCCCAGACCTCATTTAAGGGTTGGCCGTGGAGACAAGGGTGTATCACTGAAGATCTTTGTGTACCTGAAGCCTTCTGCAGCTAAGCAGCTTCTTTCCTTCATTTCTGTGACTACAGCTGTTGCATTTGAGCAAGTAAGTCCTCACTTGCTAAAACCTAGGACTTTGCTGCTCTGCTGTCATTGCTGCGCTTCCCGTTGCGTTACACATGTACAACCATGGCCTTTATTGCTGTCTGTTTTGATAATACTGAATAAGCTCTGAAAGTAGTAAATCTAAAGTACTTGCTGTGTTATTTTTTGAAGAATGAATAATTGTAGTATGATAGCTTTCATTTCTGGAGTTTGTTTTTATTTTGAAGACAATACAGTTAACTTTTTTTTCCTGGAGATTCTTTAATTCTTTCCACATTGAATACTAGCTAAAATATTAAGACAAAAGAATGCCATTATTCCTTCAACAAATATGTATTTTCTGCCTGTTCATGGTTTTATTTACAATAAGCAGAATCAAACCACAGGGTAGTGTAAGTAAGTGTAAACATTTGTTTTGCTGGGTTGTCTGTGACAGCTTTGTAGCCAAGAATAGCA